ATGCTGAGATATTATACTAAGTTAAAAATTGTGTTTATAACTGCAGCCTCAGCTTGACTGGGTTCGCTGCCGATTTGGGCACCCCAGATCAATTCCGTTGATGGGTAATTGCTGATGGAAAAAGACCAATAGAACTAGCCGAAAGACAGGCGAAACGAAGGACTCTCATGGTATGGTGGCGAACGCGTTGCTCCCCGGAAAGGACAATAGCACTTTCGTTCTCCACCACAGACACCTGCGGCCCGGCCCGGCCCGAATACATTGGCGAAACGGGTAGACCCCTCTGTGTCCGCATGAAAGAACACCTAGCCGGCAAAAATAGACCAAATACCCCGCTAGGCAAGCATAGGACCCAGAGACATAACGGGGACGACTTCGAAGTATGTGTCACGATCCTCGCACGCGAATCAAGAACACAGGCGCGAAAAACTCTCGAGGCACTCTGGATTCATTCCAGAAATCCGAAAATGAACCGCAGGGAAGAATGCCTCATTATCACGCGTGATATAGGGCAGTATATAAAACTGCTTTTCTGATGTGAGGGGCACATTATACTTCCACGTGATTTCTGTGCGGTTGGTCTCTGCGTGACATACTTAGTGGAAACCTCATAGAAAGCGGTGAGTGTGCAAAGCTGTGTTGAAAGTGATTGAAATCTTGGTTTGGGGTTTCTTTGTTTGGTTATGGAGGCATCTGGCCGAGTGACTTGCTATCAACTTGACCTTTCCAGGCTCTGAAGAAGGCGAAATCCGCCGAAACGTCAGCTTAATCGTGGACAAAGAATAGTAACACCTCGCGTTTGCTCAACAAAAATACGAAGATAATAAATAAAATGTTAAATAAACAAATTCAAACAGGTGTCAAACTACAGCTTCAACATGTGTTCGGCACATAACCACTAAATGAAGAGAAAGCGAGTCAGATAAGCCTACAAGAATGTCTAACGTCTCGTAAGTAATAGTTGTGCATAAGTTTCCTATTCAAAAACCAATGGAGGGAATGCAATTACTCATCAGATGAAATGGTTTTAAAACTGCTCAATAACAAAATGTCTTTTCACGGACACGACGGAAAGTTGCGGAGACTCAAACGGCGCTCCATAAACATTTGTCTTAATTGAAAATCTTGAACGTTTAAAAAGCTGGCAAAGGAAGCGCCAGCTCAGTGTTGCTCCGGCAGTTTCCTTTCTCGTTATAGCTGGCCGTCTGTTTCACCAAAATGAAGGATATTAGCGCGAGCTAACAACACTTTATGTTTTGATGCAGTTCTTTTTTCATGACGCAGTTCTTCAATCATCTAGTGAAATTCTGCAGATGAGCTTTTTAGGGATACGAAACCCGCTCGCCGCAAAGGCAGGAATCTCATTTCCACAGTGAATTGAAAATAAAAACAATAGTGGCTAAATGAATGCGATTTTGGCTCTTTCGGTGTTTGCCGATTCAGTGTTGCTTGTGGGAAACTGTTTCCTTTTTGCCATTCGATAAACTTATGGATACAGTTTTTCCAAAAACGCATTTTTAACGATGCCCTTTTGTCGATACTACATTTCCTCATTTGTGGAAAAGTAAAAATTTAATGTCACAGCAATAAAAATCACATGGCCGAGGCCAATTTTAAACTGCAGCAGGTGGAAAATCAGCGCATTCGATGAATTAGGCAGTCGTCCTCACATGTCATTCTCGTTCAATGTTTGACACAAGTTGTACTTTATTTGCATATCTCTACGTTTTCCTAAATACCACAAGCCTCAATACTAAGGACGACCGTAAGAAATATGATGCATTTGAAGAATTCTCTTTTCTTCTTTAAAATGCCAAGCAGATCACTAATACCTGCGTTGCGGTTACTGAGCACCTTAGTAGAAAACCATCGCCGATTTCTTCACAACCCAATTGAAAAAAAGGCAACCTCTACTAATTTAAGCATTCCATTAGGTACTACCCTCAAATATCTTCAGGTGTGGTTCTTACAATAATGAACGGTGTTGCAAAGATGGCAAGTCTCCTTGAGCTTCTGTTGCTGCTTTCTCTTCTAACCGTTACTACAGTGTTCGGATGTGCAGTTGGACCAGGTATTAAATACAATGTTGTTCTTGTAAAAGAAACATTTAAAACTTGAAGCTTAAATTTATAAACCTCAACCATGTTAATATCACTAGCATTTTATGCCCTATAGAAGAGTCGTAGTGCAAAGAACAGTATTTTAAACGAAATAGTTTCGTTCCCAGCTCGGCAGTAGTCGAGCCAATTCTTCCAAATAAAGCAGACTAACAACGGTGAGATTGACCAATCCCATTTAATTACTTGAAAATTTTTTCCAGTCATCTCTTGGGAAAAATTCATTAATCCCAACTTTAGTCTACCTATTAAAAAAGTTGGGCAATTTTTTCTATTTATATTTCTTCAATAAAAAATTTGTCAAATTTAGCCGCAATGAGCACAAGAACCTTCAGCGTCACCGGCTTCACCTTGCCTGTGCAGATGGTTTCCACAACGTCGGCTGGTGCAGTTGCTCGGATCCCCGGTATTGCAACGACTGTAGAGGCAGCCAGAGGAATTGTGACGCGTACTGTAATGCAAGCAGTGAGTTCTCATTTCTTGGACAGCTTTAATGAAAGCTTCGACTTTTAAAGGATTCGTTGGAACACTACTTTTCGCGCGATTTGCGTGGTTCTAAATAATTTAATTGGAAAACTCCATTTAAATTCCACCAGTTTGTGAAACCTTCGCCCTTCAGGTTTTTGATGTTCTCGAACAACAGGGTCGTGCAGCTGGCCTCTCCGATCCTATAATTCAAATCATTTTGAGTCAGCTCACTGTCAATATCAGGTACGAACCACTGGAATGCAAGTCTATAGTTGTGGACCCAATGCCGGATGCGAATAGTAAGTTTCTAACCTCTAAAATCTGTCCCAAAAAATTTCTTATAAATCTAGCGGAAATTGAAAGAATTTTACTTCATTAAATGTAGTTATTAACCGTGTCATTTAAAAGGTGAATATGGGAATAGCAAGAGTGTGATCAAAGCTTTTAAGGAGTTTTTGATATCATTAACTTTCGCATCTCTTTTCTCTCTGTAGACGCGTAAATCTGTTCCTCGGAACATGCGACAGTAGGAAAGTCGGCAGCGTAGGCGTTCTCGTCAACACGAGTTTGTCCATGAACACTGATTCATTCAAACCCTTACAGCCCAAATGGGACGTTTGCGATTAGGAAAATGTGGATCGATGCCGGTTTTGACAATAACCCTCGTTTACGCGCCGACATCAAACCACGACGAAGGAGAAGTGGAAGCGTTCTATATGGACTTGGAGAAGTTTTACAGAGAAGGGTATACATTCTTCGACGTTATCATTGGAGGTTTCAACGCTAAGATTGGGCCAAGAAGAACTTCTGAAAAACACCACATTGGGACCCACGGATTAGAATGGAACGAACAGGGTGAGCGCCTCTCGGAGTTATGATGACGACCAAGACCACCCATGGTAACTCGCAATTCCAGAAGTCCAACCCTCACCGCTGGATGGTGAGTACCATAACGAAATAGACTACATCATAATAAACAGAAGGTTTTGCCTAACCGATTTCGCTGATGTCTCAAAACTCTACACGGAATTAAACCATCGTCTTCTTCCTGTAAGATTCTAATCCTCGCGGAAAGGAGAAAAAGCTGCTAATTCCAAAATCGAAGTCCCAGAACCACCGCAAACTGGGACTTATTCAATTCATTAATTGGCTAATTGGGAACAACCCGCTGTCGATAACATCGAAAGAATACGATCGCCTCATTCAACATCGCGTTAGCGCTATGAAAGCTAGAATTCGAAAGTCACCAAAAGACGTTCGTCTTCAAAAGCACTCGAGCTGTTACACGTCAGAGTGGAATGGCACGAGCTGCAGGCAACCGCGAACTAACGTCTGAACTTGCAAAACAATGCAGACAGGCGATAAAAGATCTTAAAGAGAGAAGAGGAGCAGTAATCGTCGAAGCTGCAAAGGCTGGGAAAAGTATTCGTAAAGCCCACCGAAGCTTCGCCAATTACAAGATCAAGAGGATTGCAGTCCGACGCCCAGACGGAACAGCTACAGGGTCCAAAAAGGCAGCGGAGAAAATCAGCCACAAGTACTATTCAGATGCCTTCGATAGCCACGCCCACCCAAAGTCGTATGAAATAAAGGAGGAGGATATATTGTAGCACCAATTCTCCCTTCTGAAATCCAACATGCCATTTTGTCGGTGAAAAATCGAACACCATCAGGTCCGAACAGGAAAAGATCGAAACACCTGAAGAACCTTCCGCCAGTTCTAGTAAACACACTGGCTGTGCTTTTTACACGTTACATGTCTGAATGCAAGTTTCCTATTCAATCGAAAACAAGTGAGACCTGAGTAGAATTCGTGAATGATTTTCTCCATTGCCTTTCCGGACGCCACCCATTCAACCTTGTCTATGGCACTAGAGAAGAATTATTCCTCCGAACATGCGACAGTAGAGGAGTCGGCAGTGATGGCGTTTCTCGTCAACACGAGTTTGTCCATAAACATTGATTCATTCGAACAACTAGCAAGCCGAATCGGGCATTTAAGATTAAAAAGATGTGAATCAATATCGGGTTTGGCAAACCTTCGTCGTTTACGTGCCGACATCAAACTATGACGAAGAAGAATTCGAAGCGTTCCATATGGACTTGAAGAAGTTCTTCAGAGAAGACATACATTCTTCAAGATCATCATTGGAGATTTCAAGATTAAGATGAGACCAAGAAGAACGTCTGAAAAACGTAACATTGAGACCCACGAACTAAAATGAAGGTACAGGGTGTGCAGACAGGCGATAAAAGAAGATCTTACAAAGAGAAGGGCAGCAGTAATGGTCGAACCTGCAGAGACTGGGTAAAGCACTGGCAAGCCCACCGAAGCTTCGCCAATTACAACACTAAGGTGATTGCACTCCGACACCCAAACGGAACAGTTACAGCGTTTAGAAAAGCATTGGAGAAAATTATTCACGGATATTACTCAGATCTCTTCGATAGCCACGTCCACCTTCTGTCATATGAAATAAAGGAGGATGGATATATTGTATAACCGGTTCTCTCTTCCGAAATCCGAAATGTCATTTCGTAGGTAAAAAATTGAACAACACCAGGTCGGAAAAGGATAAGACCAGAACACCTAAAGAACCTTCCGCCAGTCCTCGTAAGCATCCTGGTTCGGCTCTTCACATGGTGTCTGCCCAAATGCAACTACGCTACTCGACGGAATACCAGCAAGACCGTGTTATTGTTTAAGAAGTGTAACCTATACAATATTGGCAACTATCGCCTAATCTGCTTGTTGTCTGTCCTCTATAAATTTTGCACACGAGTCATCTTAACTTGATTGACAGAACACTTGTCAAAGGGCAGCCATGAGAGCAAGCATTGCTTCGGAAACCACTAGGTACGATGGATCGTATCCTCACGCTAACAAAACTTATTGAAGCATCGCGAGAGTACGAAAGCCCACTCTGTCTCACTTTCATCGATTTAAGGAAGCCCATTGACTCTATTGGGATAGACGCAGTCATGGAAACCCTTAACAGTCATGGACTTCCTACGCAGTACATAAAGATTCTCGTGAGCTGTGCAAAAATTTCACAACGAAGATATTACCATTCCACAACGATTTTGACATTGATGTCAATAGAGGAAACGCACAACGTTCTGGAGGAGGCCAAAATTATTTACCGCCACCCTCCAGAACGTTGCGCGAAAATTGGAATGGGGTAATACGGGAGTGAAAACTGATGCCCGGCAATTACACCATCCTCGCTTTGTTGATGACGTCGTCCTTATAACACCAAACAATAGCCATGCAGAACGCAAGCTTACTGGCTTTGATAGAGGCAGTGGAAAGACTGATCTTTGACTAAATCTCACAAAAACGATGTTCATAAAGAACGGATTGGTTTGGCATGCCCCATTCACGCTTAACGGAACGAATATCACTGAATGCTCCAGTTACATCTATCTAGGTCGGGAAATCAACATAATGAACGACTCAGCTACAGAACTGAGCAGAAGGAAACGAGCGGCACGGAGAGCTTTTAAGAGCATCAGGGATGCATGAAGAAAGAAAAACACCCGACTCGGTGCCCACTTTTTCGACTCAACGGTACTTCCCGTCCTAATACATGTATGAGAAACTTGGTCGCTGCGTAAACGGGATGAGAAGTCATTCAGCGCTATTGAACGTGCAGTCGAAAAGGCGATGCTAGGAATATACTGTGTCACGCAAGTAAGGAAACGGATCCGAAGCTCCAATCTGCGTCAACGATCAAAAATCAAAGATGCCGTTCCGTACGCCAAACACTCGAAGATAAGGTGCGCCGGAGACGTAATGCGTATGAATAACAACCGATGGACAAGAGCCCCATTATTGAGTGGATTCCTTGCGATGTCAAACACACTGTAGAAACACCACCGACCGGATTTTTAGAGTTATTTACGAAAAGCTTAGAAGAATGATATGATGCTCAACGAAGGAGTCCCTAGAGCGAGCAAACCCATTGCGCTACTCTTGCACGCGACAGGAAAAATAAAAGATTCACTGGCACCCGCTCGATTCACTCGACGATCAGCGAGAGGACAGCTGATATAGATGATGATTATCGCATTTGTCAAGTAGGTAATTACATTATCTTCTCCTTGCTGATAACATTATTCTTATAACGCCAAATACGAGCCACACGTAACGAATGGTTGTAGACTTCTATAAAGCCTGTGAAAAATTCGTCTTCGACTAAATCTCACGAAGAAGATGTCCATGACGAATGGACTGGTTTCGTAAATCCCATCCACACATAAGGGTAGGAATATCTCCGAATGATCCAGCTGAAAAAAAAAGAGAACAATGGCAGTGGAACACATTTTGGGAAGCGTTCAACCACTCAGTGCACTCACAAAGAATGGAATACTTTTTGAAAATAAATTATCTTTTAAATTCTTTTGAAGGAAAAACGAAAGCTTTTGTTAACCAATACAAATTAACGCAGGAATCCCAGCAGATGGTTATCACCCATCTAAAGCATAAAAGTAGGGTAGCAAACAAGATCTCGTAGACGAACTACTCAGCAGAATATAGACGACCAAGGCGAACAGCGACCGCCTTAAAGATTAGCAGACATTGTGCGAGCACTTGTTCTCCGTAATCAGCCAATTGGCACACTATGGAGAATTTGTGGACTCCACGTACCTAGAAAATCAATTTCTTACGAAATTTACGAAAGATATTCAAAGACACCCAATCTTCAATGATATCAATGAATATATAAGCAAGGAGCTCAAGATACAGCAACAGCTGGGCAGAAACGTCAGTATTACATCAGATTTGAGAGGCACTATGAATAGACCCTGCAGCAACGTTTTATGCCTCAAACCTTCACAGCCAGAATTTATCCATGTTTCTACTGTGAGACGATTGGACATTACCCAGTTGACTACAAAAAAGTGAGAAGGTATGAAGGAAAAGTGCAGATTATGAAAGACCGGAACCTTTGCTTTAACTGTGGATCAAAACTTCACCAAACATCAGCTTGCAAGGTCCTGTGCTGCTGAGTGTGCGGTAAACGTGGACATCACACGTGTATTTGTAAGCAACAACAACCGTCAAACGAACAGCCAGAAGTAGGCCAAATAGACAAACAGAAGCGGCTTGTTAACACCACTGAAAGCAGAAAACTGCGCCATCAAGAATCAATGCAGTAGAATCCCAACAGAACTACCAGGACGATACGGTCATACTCCACGCGATGAAAGAAAAAACAACGAATGTCCAAGTATTGACAGGACAAGCGCGGTTCTTTAACACATTTACTCAGACATGCGAGCCAGTACGTCTCTTGCTGGTACAAGATTCGAACGCTCAATCATCATCAGTGAATTGGCTGAACATCTCTATTTACAAAATATTGAATCCGTAGAATTATCCATTAACACATTCGGAGCTCTTAGCGAAGTGAAAAAGAACTGTGAAGTTACCGCAGTAAAATTGTGGGACGTCTTTGGAACACAGCATGAAATCACACTAATTAGGATCGAGACCGTCACCAAACCGCTAAAATGTATACGTTTCAGCCAAAAGGATAAGATGTTCCTCCGTTATAATAATATTGAACTGCCGATCGAAAATAAAAAAACAAGGGCAGCAAAATGCTGAAATATGAAAACAGTTTGCGAAAAGGATACAGAGACGTGAGGATGGTTATTAGGTTACACTTCGGTGGAAGAACAGTTCAACCACACTCCCTGAGAACGAATGCACGGCATTTCGGCGACTACAAACGACGATCACTCCTTCCATGCTAGAGAAATATAACGAAACCATAATGCAGCAACTAAGCGAGAACATTATTGAGGAAGTCGATGAATCGACGCACCAACAACGTGTAATTATTCACTGCCTACCGCATCGCGCCATGGTCACTCCATATAAGGAAACCACAAAACTACGCATCGTTTACGATGCATCGCGCATCCTGTATTACCGCCCTCATTGAATGTTGTTCTCCACCAAGCGCCAGTCTTCCTCCTTCGAATATGCGACGTTCTACTTCGTTTTCATATAGGAAATATTGCAATAATTGCGGACGTAGAGCAAGCATTCTTGCCAGTACGACTCCACCAGCACGATAGAGATGCTTCACGGTTTCTATGGGTTCGCGACATCTCGCAACCTTGCGAGCCAAAAAACATAGTTACCTACAAATTCACGCGGTAACTTTTGGCCTCAATTGTTCGTCGCTCCTACTAGTAGGAACAATTAAGCATCACTTAGAGACCCAAGTGTACAGTGCAGCCTTGGCTTACGAACTTACAAACAATACATATGTTAATAACGTTATTGACACAAGCTCGTCATTAGAACAGGCCATGGGCAAAACTGAGCAATCAAAGCAAATTTTCAAAGAAAACTTTGAGCATGAATTTACGAGAATCTATGTCGAACAATAAAGAACTTGTTCGGTAGATTGCCTCAAAGGACTTGACATTAAGCAATCAACAAGAGGTCCTGGGAATAGCATGGGATCCGGAAAACGATAAATTACACCTCTCCTGCAAATATCCATACAAACCAAACTAACCAAGTAACAGCAAAAGCAGTAGCTGAAAAAGTAGCAGCAATCTACGGTCTCCTAGGATAGCTCACACCACTAACAGCACGAGGAAAGCAATTTCTTCAAATGCTTTGGAACCTTAATTATACGTGGAACACACCGCTCTCAAAACTATATGCTGACGAATAGGAAAATGTAGTCAGAAACCTAAATGGATCTTCACCCACGGTGTGCTGCCGAACTCGAACATGTAGCCAAACTAATTCTCTTTGCAGACGCCAGCAAAGAATCTATGGCAACCTGCGCCTACATCGCATGTATCACATGTGGTCCCGTTGATCGTCGAGTTACTCGAGCACCAGTAAATATTCCACTTTTCCCTGTTGCCTGCAAGAGTACCCCAGTGGGTTCTGCTCGATCTAGCGACTCGTCGAGCGCCATATGTTTCTTCAAGGATCTTTGTGAAAAACTCCGACCATCCGGTTAGATTTCTAAGAGCTATGGTGACGATCTGTCCCTACAGTTCACGTATACTTGCATCTGAGATGCTCGATAGAACACTTGCTCACGCAAACGAGATGGATAAAGCACGACGTCGCCGGCCTGGCCGAAACGAGAAGACGCGAGCCGTCTATGACACCGGGAAAGAACTGTTCCTCGGAACATGCGACAGTAGAGGAGTCGGCGGAGTCGGCGTTCTCCTCAACACGAGTTTGTCCATGAACATCGACTCATTCAAACAACTTACAACCCAAAGCGAACGTTTACGATTAAAAAGACGTGGAACAATTGCGGCTTTGACAATCTTCGTCGTTTATGCGCCGACATCAAACTATGACGAAAAAGTCGAAGCGTTCTATATGGACTTGGAGAAGTTCTAAAAAAAAGACGTACATTCTTCAAGGATATCACTGAAGATTTTAACACCAAGATTGGACCAAGAAGAACGTTTGAACAACGTCACATTGAGACCCAAGGATTAGAGTGGAAAGAACAGGGTGAGCGGCTGTCTGAGTTTGTCACTGCGTCCAAGACAATCCATGGTAAACCGCAATTGCAAGAGCCCTACCCTCAGCGCTGGACGTGGGAGTCTCCTAATGGAGAGTACCATAACCAGATAAACCACACCATAGTAAATAAAAAGTTTTGCCTAACTGATGTCGCTGTTGTCCCAAAATTCTACACAGAAGCGGACCATCGCCTCTTTTATGCAAGATACTAATCCTTGCTGAGAAGAGAAAAAGCCGATGAATTCAAAAACCGATGTCCCAGAACCACCATAAACTGGGACTTATTCAATTCATTAATCGGTTGTTGGAAAGATGACTTTGTCGATAAAATTGGCGAGGAATACGATCGGCTCATTCAACATCTTTACGTAACCGCTATGAAAGCTGAGAATTCGAAAGTCACCAAGAGACGTCTGTCTCCAGAAACGCTCGAGGTGATATGCCAGCGTGGAATCGCTCGAGCTGCAGGCAACCGCGAACTAACGTCCGAACTTGCAAAACAATGCCGACAGACAAGAAAAGAAGATCTTAAAGAGAGAAGAGCAGCAGTAATGCTCGAAGCTGAGGAGGACGGGAAAAGCATTGGTAAGCCCACGGAAACTTCGCCAATTAAATGAGCAAGATGATTGCACTCCGACGCTTAGATGGGACAGTTACAGCGTCCAGAAAGGCAATGGAGGAAATCGTTCACGAATACATCTCACATCTCTTCGATAGCCACGTCCACCTTTTATCATGTGAAATAAAGGAGGGTAGATATGTTGTACCACCGGATCTTCACACGTTAACTGTCTGAATGTCCTTACTCAGTGAAAGACCAGCAAAACCGCGTTATTGTTCAAAAAGGCGGCCTGCATGATATCGGCAACTATTGCCCAATCTGCTTGCTGTTTGTGGCCTTCAAACTTTTTTCTCGAGTCATCATCCTAAACACGATTGACACTGGACGAAGGGCAGCCAACCTTTTCGACTCAACGGTACTTCCTGTCCTAACGTATGCGTCAAAGACCTAGTCGGTGCCTAAGCAGGATGAAAGATCACTCAGCGTTATTAAACGCGCATTCGAATGGACGATGTCCCGTTTCACACAAACAAAGAAAGGTATCCGGATGTCCGACATGCGTCAACGGCCAAACATCAAAGATTTCGTCCTGTACACCAAACATTTTAAGATAAGGTAAGCTGGACACGTAATGAGTATGAATGACAACCGATGGACAACAGCCGTCAGTTACTGGATTCTTTGGGATGCCAAACGTACTGCAAGATGTCCACCGACCCAATGTTAGAGTTTCTCACGAATAGCCTAGAAGAAAGATATGATGCTCAACGTGTCCATAGAGCAAGCAGAACCCACTGGAATACTCTTGCACCCGACAGGGAAAATTGGAAGATTTTCTGGCTCTCGCTCGAGTCACTCGACGTTTAACGAGACTACAGGTGACAGGTGGTTCTAACGAAGGGGGCGTGTAAAGGAGTCGCTAGTGGCACCCTGTAATACACAAGAGACCGATCCCACACTGAGGATCACCAAGTTTTCCATCCTTCCGAGGTCGGCAAATTGATATCAAACATGTCTGGAAAGAGTACTGACTACTGGTACTACTGAATTGTACTGACTTGATACATTGGTAGGCCACCGCGAGTTATGCCAAATGTGCATTCAACCATCTCCAACGATGTTTAGTGAATATAATAACTATTCCTCACATTTTTAACTTATTATTTACTGCTTACTGTCAGGACGGAACCATAGCACGTTCGTTTTCTACCGCAAACAGCTGCGGTCGCAAGTTTTGCAAACATCTCAGCAACGTTTAAACTATATTCCTCAAATGGTTCTTATTACTAGGCCACTTTATGTCTTCTACAATAACCGCCTACTTGTAATCGTTATACGTCTATTTTCGCACATTCTGTAAATAAATTGCTTCTCAGCTACCGTTTCAAGCAACTGCCTCGCAGCAGGCTAAAATGTGATACTGTAACTTCTTTATATCAACCGCTCTTCTTTGCCGGACGATTTGGGTGCTTAATAAACTGCGGCCAGCTGCATGTTCCTTCAAGAATCGGCAGTTTGAATGCACTTTTTGTATAAGCCTTTGCATGGCCTTCATTAAGCTTCTGTACAAGAAATTGTACTAACTAAAGAAGTCCACAACTTCTTTCTGGGCACTCTCTCTGATTACCTCTGTAACACCCCACCTATTACAGCTAGAATATAAGGAGCACCACTAGTCACCAAAACCAGTGCCTGTGTTTCAATTCTCTAGTGCTTGTCCTCCTATCCACGATTGTTCGTGTTCCAATCTTTCAGCGCTTATCTTCCAATTCCTCAGTGCTCTAATTCCAGTGTCCGTCTAGCTTTCTGCGAGTGTTTCACTTGTTTTCATTTCAATCCCGCTCGTATCCGCCCAGCGAACCACACATCGTCACATTGCTATTATTGGATCGTTGTTGTTGCTATAAATTGTTATAACCCAAGCTCGAGGTTGTTCACGGCAGTCACAGAAAAAGTCTCGCTAGGCGAATTAACTCGCTACTCCACTGCCCAGCTAACCCAATGAACGCGATCTCTCAGAGGTTGATCAACGCCGACAGCTTTATGCTATTTATGCTTTTGCTTTATGCTTTTTTAGCTCTATTATCACAGAAGCACCGGCTTCGTTATTTCGAAAAATTTCAAACAGCTGGTCAAGTTTAGTATACTTCATAAACGATTACCTTTGGAATGATCCGACTATTTAACATGGCGTTTTTGTACCATTCATTTTATGCAACGCAGTTGAAAAATGCACAAAAATAATAAGAAAAGCAAATTTTACGCTTAGTCAAAACAAAGGTGTAAATAAAGCAGTTTGTTCCAGACATGCCCAATATGATGACTCCGCTCTGTGTCATCATCGGCAATACCGTAAGCGCAATATGCAACGAAGATTGTATGACAGGGATGGGTGATAAAGCATTGCCTATTCCGGCGCAGCACTCGTCAATTTCAGGAACTCTCACGGTTTATTTACATTGTTCTTCATACTAAAGCGTTTTGAGAAGAAAAACGACCTTTGCAGACCACAAACGTCATCATGGCGAATTGGTCGAGAGAGATGTGGCAAGCAGTGGTGAACAGAGTGGTTCGAGCTTTCCAATCAGGTCCCTTTGGATCGCACTTCTTCTCGGCATCTGCCACCGTTCAATGAAGCGAGAAACCATCCACGAACTGTTTGTAATTGACAATTCATTTGTGTGGTACTTTATACCGTTGCCTGATGAGACCAATAAACTAGTCAACCCCAAAATTTGTCAATAATGAGCGAGACGAATTGCAGCAAAGCGTACTAGATTAAGTAAGGTTTAGTGCCTCTCTAATCGGCCGATTGAAAATAAAAATGAGCGGCAAGAGATCTAACTATCTATATTACGCAGTGACACATGAAATGTCCCATTTTAAATGGAAACTTTAAATAACCATAACTTTTTTCGTAATAAATTTCATTGATCGAAATAAGCAATACATTTTTGCCAGCGAAAGACAAATTTGCTTGTTCCAGTTGCACAAAATTCTGGAATTGTGGAGGAAGCGATGAGTTCGTTGAAGAGATTTTTGCGCTATCCCGGTTGGTGAACCATTTCTCGCGCAGGATGTTGCCAAGGCGCTTGAAGAAGTGATAGTCGATAGGCGAGAGACCTGATGAATATAGCGGATAAGCCAAAGTTTCGTAGCCCCATGTTCAACTTCTGAAGAGCTGGTTTCGCAACGTGAGGTCGGGCATCGTCGTGAAGAATGATTGGCTCTTTTCTTTTGATCTAGTCCAGTCGTGGTTGCTGGAGCTTACGGTGCATTTCGTCGATTTGTTGACAATCTGTCTCTGCCGTAATTGTTTCGTCACTGATTCAAAAGGCTGTGATAAATTTCACCGGCTGTAGACCACCAAACAGTCACCGTAACTTTTTTGGTGTGATTTCGGTTTTGAGAAATACTGTGGAGCCTGATCACAATCCGACCATTGAGGTGAATGCCTCCCCTTATCGTACTAAATCCACTTCTCATCGCACGTTACAACTAGATCAAGAAAAGGGTTGCTTTCGTTGCGCAGAACCACAGCAGACAACACTTTAAAACGATGTTTCTTTATTATCCTTGATTCGTGCCACTTGCAAATTTTTTGCCTTTCTTATGCGATTCAAGTGAGTGGAAATCTTTCCTTAGCTCACACAAGGCTGTTCTGCAAGCCCTTGAACAGCTTTTCGTTTGCATGTTTGCCTCCACTAGTGCCTTTAATTCGTCGTCAACAAGTTGATTGAGACGTTTGCGGGCTTCCTTAACTTCGAGGTCTTGCTCTTGCTTACTTGTTACTTGAATGGACCGTCTTCACTGGTTGTGCGAGACCCAGTGTAATCTCCATTCTTCGGAGATTTGCTGGTTAAGCCATTATGGGTTTCCTGGAGTCCCGAGGTTAGCCTGGCTGAAGTCTGCTCTAGATCTTCACCACCACTGGTAGTAGCAGTCCTTGTGGATCAGAGAGAGATTTACCACCAATCGACTTTGATACCAGAACGGTGGTGGATCCTGGTATTAGCTCGCTCTTAGCTAGACTTCCTGATGAAAACGCTAAACTCGTTCTCAGCTTCGGAAACCTGCCGAGACCGAGAGTTACAATATTTACTGTCTTTTTTGTAAGGAAAAAACCCATAGTACAAGCATCACATTTGGCATAAGCGTTGATGGATCTCTTAACTCACCAGCACTTTACGGTAGCGTTAGCTAAACCTCCAATGGCATGCAGTAAACTAGGTCCGAAAACCACCGAACAAACTACTGGTTTTCTTTTCAAGTAGCCCGTAGCTTGTGCTGCATGGCACACCTAAAAAAAAATTCTGAAGAAGGCGAGACTGCCGAAACGTCGGCTACGGTTGTGTTGCACGAGTGTTATTGCATGGAAGTAAATCTTTAAATTTAATTATGACAATGGTAGGGAAAGAAAGTTCCGCATGAAACTCCTTGCCAGTGAATTATCGTAAGATTGGAAATCGATGAAAGCATAGGCATAGTTGGAGCCCTTCTTTAACGCAGTTGGCGTGCTGACGAAAATATCTTACAAAATTTTCCAATTCTCCTTCTCAGAAGTCACCCGTTGAAGGTTCTAGAAAACGTCAGAAAAAAAGAATCGTCTGCTTGCCGGAAACTTTGCGGTAAAAGCCGAACGACTTTCACTTTCTCCTACCAAGAAAAGCTTTGGAAATTGGTTAACACCATTGATGTTAAAGAGGTTTGGACAATGATTGTTATGTTTTTCTATCAAGCACAGATTTTCAGTGCCTTTCAAAAATACCGAAACCCTTCAAGCATGAAATGAAATATTAACAATAGAAAAGGATAATACGAAAACGTACAAGAACTTACCGAATTACATGCGTGACTCTTCTCTAAACATCTCTAAAAAGACAAACAAAGGGTACTGATTTGTTAGTCAAGTATAACTTCGTCCGTCAATATGAAACTGCTCATTAACAAGTTTTATTTTCTCTGTGCACTAAGGAGACGTGAGGAGGTTCAGACGGCGCTTTGTGAAAATTCCCTTTCAATGAAACCATGGCATACGTCGTATAGTATACAGTGCATTCTTAGCTAATTCATTGACTTGTGAAACCCACTGCTGTGTAAAGACAGTCTTTGTATCTCCTAAGACAGGTTAGGTACCAATTTCAAAGGATTCTGCGCTTCACTTCTAGTGAGCGTGATCAAAGAACTATTCTTTCAAAGAAGCTTAAACGTTTGAAAACTTTATTTTAAGTGGTGACATATGATGAAAGAATATAAATTGTATAGGATATATGTATATACGAAGTCTTGGTACGCCGTCGCAGAAGAACGTGCATACAAGTGCAAACTGCGGATGGAGGAGTGGTGGCACTTGTATAAAATTTCAGAACTGGTGGCGTATAACAACTGAGGTCGTATGCGGCCTATGGTGAACGTGCACATCCGGTGGCGCTCTACGATCGGTGAAGAAAAGAATTAATCAAACCCTAGTCATCAACGGTCAGCAGATTGACTTAAAGGTTGCCTCGAAAAACGCAAACCACGGATTCGCCACATCGGCAAATGACGTCTTGTGCTTCCACGTAAATCTTCAACAGTGTCGAAAGCTCTTAGTAAAATTTCATTATTTTTACAGCACCGACCGGTTCTTCGCTGCCAGCTCTCCACCTTCACTATTCTCACCGTTATTCAGTACTTTCCCGTCGTCACATCTGCTCTCGTCGGAAAAGTCAAGAAGAGGGTTTGGTATTGTGGATGTGAAGAAGACGATGTCTATCTCTCTATGAACATTTTTCTGCCAAACCTAATGAAGGAAAGAAGTTTTCACCGGTCCCAAAGTATATCTTAAGAATTCATTCATGATCTCGCTTCGAACGATCTACTTAATATTCTTAGTGGAACGACAATGCATCGTTTGCTATTTTCTTTGTATAAGGGCGACTTGCTTTCCGACCCGACCTGCTACTACACCAGTGTTGGCTCCAAACCAGTACGTCGATACGAAGCAAGGCATAAACACATTCTTGTAGAAGGATTGGGAATTCGATATCGACGACGAAAATGTCGTAAAACGGGCATCATAATCATATAATAGATAAAATGCTAAAGAGTCTCATGGATATTTTTTTAAGTTCAAGGCTTCAGATTTCAACGCTCACAGTGGCACGTGCACCCACTCTAAGTCAATGCTGCTACAACTCAAGCAAGCCTAATGGCATTTGCACTGTCGTGGTTAAATTTTGTTACAAAAAAGGCGAAGAATCCGGCGTCGATCATTCCACATAGAATTCGGCATTCGTTCGACTTTATCAAGACTTGCAAGAGGTAACTGAATGGTGATAGACCAATAAATAGCTCACAGTGGCACGTGCACCCACTCTAAGTCAATGCTGCTACAACTCAAGCAAGTCTGATGGCAATTCGCCTGCCCCTGAAGAACTAAAAGCGTCCAGAGCCTAGAAAACTTAACCGAACCGATGACCATGCGTTCATCACAGTACACCACTTCCCACTACAATGCAAGCGGAAATTTGCTGTGGCGGAATTTTTCACGAACACGGGTTTTCTGGTTACGATAGAGCATCAAAAGTGAAAGGAAAATTTGAAGGCGATATTGATCGTCGATGGAGAATTCTTCGCAACAATACGAAGGTGCTTATTCAGTTTCCTTCATGTTGCACCAAAACATCCTAGAACGCCAACGATGTTTTCCATTTTTGTGAGCGACGAGGAAGAACTCCGAAAGAAAAGTACGTGATGAATAGTTCCGACTGCACACTAGAATTAAATGAGAGCTTCACATTTGCCGTCCTTAACGCTGCTCGCTTGACAGCAGGAATTTCTTATAGAGGATTTTCAGATTTTTTCCGTCTGTGGTCGATAGAAGATTCTGATATCTTTCACAGCCACATAGTCGCCAGGTAAACAACTTTTAAAGGAGTTCGTTGCTAATCACTGAATGGGAAATGAACATGCATTGGTGGAGACGAAATTGAAACCAAAAGTGAGAATTGAACTGCCGGCTTCGTAACATTACCTTTGAATAGATGTCAACGTACAGCTGTAACATAGGTTCAGCACATAACCATTAATTGAGCAGAAAGGAAGTTAGATAAGCGTGCAAGAATCTCAATCGTGTTACAAGCGATAGCTGCCTAAAACTCCCTTTTACAAAAACCATTAAGGGAATACAATTAGTCGTTAAATGAAGTGAATGCTGCCTTAGTCACAGCTTATCAGTAACAAGAATTGTTTTGCCTGCACAAGAAGAAGAAATTCGAAGCATCAAACGGCGGTCTATAAACATTAGCCTTTATTGGAAATGTGGAACGTTTAAAAATGTGGCAAAGGAAGCGGTAGCTCAGTGTCGCTCCGACAACAGTTTCCTTTCTCGTTTCATTTGATCGTCTCTTTTACCAAAATGCAGGACACGAGCTGACAACACTTTATGCTCTGATGCAGTTGTTTTTCATGACGCAGTACTTTAATCGTCTAGTGAGGTTCTGGAGGTGAGCCTGTTAGGGATACCAGGCCGACTTGCCACAAAGACAGGAATCTCACTACCACAGTATATTTCAGAAAAACCCATGGTGGCTAAATAAATGCGATTTTCGCGTTTTTGTTGTTTGCCGGTAGGAATGCCGCTTGCAGGACGCT